GGGGCCTACCGAGGCGTCCTTGGCGCGAGCTGTTTGTGTGGTGTCTTCACCGCCGCCCGCCCCCTGCTCCAGTCCTCGTAGCCTTCCCGGCCCGCCGTTCAGTCAAAACCCGGACTGGATTTATTTCCCGACCCACGCTCTCTGAAAATCTGCCCGCTTCCTAGCAGTTGGCCGGGACACGGAGGCCGCCGTTGCCCCTGGGGCCCACGACTCCCTCTGGTGGGGAGAGCGTAGGCTCAGCCAGGAAGAAGGTGTTGGGTTAAGAGATTGGCTGAGAGTGGTTCTCTGATCGATGGCGACCGCACGGGAGCTTCAGTGGAGTCCAGGTGTGCCAACCCGAGGTTTGGGGTCAGTTCCCAACGTGAGTCCCCCGTCACTGAAATTCCTGCAACATTTTCGTGGCCCTCTCTGCCAGGCTTCTCTGAGCGCCCGGGCTGTAGGCCTTGCCTTGTAGCTCCTTCAACGTTTTTTGGTTGGTTGGCTGGCTGGTTGGTTGGTTGGATGGTTGGTTGGTTTTTCCACCTGAGGACGTTACCTGTTGATGTCGGCCGAATTCTAAAAGCTTTCAGCTCTCTTGGTTTGGTCTCCTGACATTGTCCGAGTCTTAAGGGAGCAACAAACCAGGGAGTCAATATCGCTATTCCAAAATTTTTCTGTGATGTAAGGCCTAACATAAGGACAGTTTGCCACGTAATGAATGACTACCACTTCCTGAGGACTTCCCCGTGTTGTTTGGCCTTAGACTGTAGTAAACCAGGCATTCAGCATCCAAATCACACCCCTAAATTGCACTGTTTTGGCTAGGGCTGGGAGGGCCGTATTCATCAGTTGTTGAGTAAAGGTGCCGCATAATCCAACCTTTCTTATTGGGGGGTTGAACAACACCGTCTTGCTAGACACGTGATGGGGACTCATTAATGCTTGCTTAGGATGCCTTCCCATCGCTGAATAGGGATGAGGACAGGGATTCTAAAATGAACTGGGTTTTCCAGGAAATTGATTACCTTCCAGAAAATGCCTATTTTAAGTAATCACACCCAAAGAGTGATGTGGTTTCTCTTCACATCTTTGAGGCATAGGACAAGTCCTGTCTATTGTTCTTTTTGAAATGCCTTTCCTACCAGCACTTCCGTTCGGTCCCAAAGTTCTGATAATAGAAGTGCAAGTCCCTGTGCTATAGAAAAAAGAGGTATACAACCACACACTTGGATGACCCCACTCAGACACTACCCCAGGATTTACCTCCCTCGAGCCTCATTCAGAACACACCATTTCTAGCGAACTTTTCATGTGTAAATATCCTGCTCAGGAATTTAGAAAGAGCAAACAGTTGGAACATTGTAATTTGTGGGTGTGTCTAGAATCAAGTCTTAGAGTGCCTAATCCCTCCCAGGAGGGAGTAAACTGTGGGTAGCCAAGGTGCCCTCCTCCACAGTCTAGAAGGGAGCTTGGTTGGGTTGATTTGGAGAGAGGCAGCCAAGTGTATAGGTCTCTGCCAGGGGTGGGCAGGTGGCTGGCTCAAGGACAGTGGCTGGGGTGCAGAAGAGAACGTGTTGTAGAATGTGAGGATTAACATGACAGCTGTCAGTCATCAGAATAGCTGTGACATGAGATCAGGCTGTTGACTGTCCTCAGAAGAAGGGGATAGAAAGGATGAGATTCGGGCATTCCCTCTGCATCTCCTTCCATTTGCATGGAATTTTGCCCTCACTGCCCTTGGCTCTGTCCCAGTAGAGATGCTGGATTACAGAGTGTGGAAGGTTAGGTAAATCATCATTTGTGTTGGGGTAAGACCTTTCTGATGGTCAGCTGCTTTCGGGTCACCCACGCTCCTGTAAGTAACCCCTTACTCATGCTTAGTCAGTAAGCCCAATAAAGTCACTGGTCCCCAAGGTGGGCTTTGGCAGGGTTGTTCATCACTGGACCTCTATGTCATGTGAGAAAACTTTTCCTGGGGAGACAAAACACACCAGTCATCTACTCACCCCAGGTAGGGAACCCAGGCCAGACCAAAGTACGAGTACCTCCAAAGTCCCGCTCAGTGAACCAATGAGCTTAATTGGGGTTACTTACAGGAATTTGGGTGAGGGGTTCCTTATAGGAGCAGGGGTGACAGCTGCCTCATGAGCTGCCACCCCTGAGAAGAGCTTCTGAGGGAAGGCAGCCAATTTTCTTTAGTGGTGCAGCTCCTGGGAGGTCAGCAACACATACATTGGAGTTGATTACATTTTAAATGATAAAAGGTCACAAAGTTTTTTGTCCGGGGTTGGGGGGGGGAGAGGGGGATTAGGAGGTGGGTAGATCTGAGAGGAGCTCAGGGGGAGGAGTTGGGGCGAATATGATCAATTGTGTGAAATTCTCAATGAACTCTAAATTTAGTAGGCTAATGAGTTAATAGGTGCAGTCAATTTTAAACTGATGTATGCGATCAGTTTAGAAGACTGTTGTCATCAGCTATGAACTCGACCATTGCCCCTCCCTACCCCTGACGTCACCACGGAGTTCATGGCGCCAACCCCCTTCAGGTTGGGGCATTTTCTTGCTGAATTTTTCATTTGTAAATAATCCAGTTAGGAATTCAGAAGTCTTAACAAAGGCTCATTATTCTAAACATGATCTTAGAAAAAACAGGATAACTTGAGACAGCCGAAGGACAACTCTCTGAAGTCCGTTCTCATCATCTGCCCTGGTGGAGCAGAGTTTGTTTTCTGCCACTCCGTATTCCAGTCTAGCTGGCTACAAAGACCAGAAGTGACACTTCTGTCTCTGCCCTGCCACACCTACCCGAAGAGTACTGGGATCTGTGGATTCCTGGGATGGAACTTGAGGCTCAGGCCTGCTCCGCCAGCACTTTTACCCAATGAGCTGTCTGTTCCTTCCCCTCAGGGTTATAGGAATCAGACTCAGATCCTCCTGCTTGCAAGACAAGCCCTTTGCCTCCCAGCCCCAGGCCTGGCTGTAAGCACTGGTAAGCACAGTGAGCAAGGGAGCCCTTGCTGCAGAGGGAAGTAGAGAACAAACAAGAAAAAGTGAACCAACTTCAGAGGTATAGTAGGCACTAGAGAAAAGGCCAAAGTGGGAATAGAGTGGTAGTGGTTTAACATAAAGAGATGTGGGCCCCAGCATGGTGGTGCATACCTGGAGTCCCAAAGGATTCTATTTCTATGTTGCAGAAAGGCTAACACAGTCGGAACATCACAAGTTCAAGGCCAGCCTACTGGACTACAGGGGTGGTCCTGACTACACCTATTCAAGCATGAACAAAGCAAAACAAGAAGTGTGCATATGTTTACATCAAAACAGACTTAAGAAACCACGGAACACAGTGTGAAACTAAAATTGGAACACGCAGTGAGCCAGGTTTCCTTCCTCTGAAAGTGTTTCCTTCTGCTTCTGTTCTGTTGTGCCTTTGGTGCTGATCCACAGGGACGAGGTCGGCTTAGAGCAAGTGCTACTCCTGCTCTGTAACCGCTGACAACTTGCCATCTCTTGTCTGGGTTCCCGTGATCCACAGTGAGTCTTACACCTTTGACATTTGGGTCCCAAAGATGCGTTTAAAAAATGATTGAAGAGAGCAAGGCTCATTTTTGACATTTTGTTCGATATTTTTGAGATTCAGAAAAATAGAAACCATGGCCCCCAAACTGTAACCCATGCAGAAACACAGTGGACTCACCCACCACTGACTGCTTTGGTGTCGTTATCAACCTTAAGTAATTAAATCTTTTGATCGTGGTAGCGCCTTCCAAAAACTATTTTTAATCAAAAAGTAACATGTTGCCCTTTATAAAGGTTATGAAAGTAAGATTAGGTTCATCTTTCCAGACTTCTGGGAACCTCAGGAATGATCTCAGTTGATGACTGTCACCACTCCGTATGAAGACTCGATGAAGGGTAAAAGCGTGGCTCGTCTCACAGCTTTCTACGACAGCCTGACTCAAACTCACAGTTTCACATGACAGTTTCTTCTGTGAGCAATTAACTCAAACCCTTTAACCACACTGTGTTCCTATAGTTCTGAATAATGCCTCCCAAAGACCTGATGGGAGGGGCATATTGTTTTCCAACCCTCCACACAATTGCTGTGTGTGCATGCGTGTGCACATGTGTGTGTGTGTCTGCATCTTGATTGTTACCTCATCTGTTGAGTCCTCCCATACTGGCATTTATGCAATAGATGAGCAATAGAAAGAACACCTGACTAGGATTTTAGAAGCATAGCTGGAATGCTGTGTGTGACAATAATTTAGGCCTTCTTCTCTGAGGAGTTCACAACTTATGGTGATTGAGCAGTGCTCCCCACTTTCATAGTAGACGCCTGTGTTCAGATGGAGCAGTTGCCCGCTCTTAGCCCTCGCTAATAGGCCCCAATATATACCCACAAATGTACAATGAAGCTTGCTTGAGATTGTGTGTCCTGTAAGACAAATCCCGCTGGTTACCTCCGTTTCTAGGAGCATGCCTTTCCGTTCGATGGCTCTCCCTGTTTGTTGGGAACACAGACTTCATGAAGTTATGATTTGGTTGCTCTGACATTTCACTGCTGTGCTCATTCTCTGTTGAGGTGCCTGATGGCTTTGCTCAGAGTTATTGGTACATTGTTGCGTTTGTCCTAGCTGCTTTTCCTGCAAAGAGCAGCCTGCCTAGTCCGAGGCAGACAAATCTTCCCTACCAGGACGTTTTCACAGTCCTGAAGCTCTTCTGTTACTCTTCCTCTTCCCATCAGTGTTTTCATACGGGACCTTTCTGGTGCAGTGAGCCCTACTCATGGCAGAGCCAAGCCAGAAGGTAGACCATTTTGGGGAAACTCAGGCGCGGACGGTGCTGAGCCGGAGAGCGGAAGGTAAGCCATTTCGGGGGAACTCAGGCGCACATGGGGCTGAGCTGGGGAAGCGTTTGAAGTGGAAGTTTAGCTGGAGAGTGGCCAACTCTATTTCTGTCCCACGTAGCTGTCTATTGCTGTGATAAACACCATAACCACAAGCAGCTTGGAAAGGAAAGGATTTCTTTCACCTAAAGTTTTACCATCATGAAGGGATTTAGCGCAGAAACTCAAGGCAGGACCCTGGAGGCAGTGACCGAAGCAGGGAGTAGGGAGAAACACTGCTCCCTGGTCTGCTCCTTGCACCTTGCTCAACCTGCTTCTCCTCAACGTAGGACTAGGGTCTACCCAGGGACGGCACCATCCACATTGGGCTGGGCCCTGCAACATCAAACGTTTATCAAGAAAACATCCCACAGACTTCCTACAGACCATCTGCTGGAGGCCTTGTCTTCCCTCATCCCTGAGAACTCTATCTCATATTGACAAAATAACTGAGACCCTGTCTTTGTCTCTGAACATCCTATATGACACTTGTTTCCTTGTCTGCTATAGCAGGCTTTCTTGGACTGCCAGCCCCCAAATCATGACATGGAGACTTGTTATTAACTATGAAACTCGGCCTTGTTAGGCTTGTTTCTAGCTAGTTTTTTTATTTTTGAACAATCTCTTTCTAATAATCCATGTGCTGCCCCAGACTTGCTTATCTCAACAATATACTGTGCGTCCTGCTTTCCTGCTTCCTCAGTGGCTGTTCTTTGTGCCCATCAGCTCTTCTGTCCCTACTCTGCCTAGCTATTGGCTGTCAGCTTTTTATTAGACCAATCAGGTAACTTAGACAGGCAAGGTAAAGCAACAGACATCTTTACATAATTAAACATGCAGTATAAACAAAGGCAACACAGCTTTACATAGTTAAACAAATGCAACACATCTTTACTTAGTTAAGCAAACATTCTATTCTACAACAGTCTGCTCTACTGGAGTAGGGTCCACAGGTCCCTGGGGCCACACACTCAGCCTTGTGATAAGGGGAAGGAGAGAATGAGACATTTGTAGCAGCTACAGCTGTCCCACCTCAGTGCTCTGAGTGGACTCCATCTTTGTCACTGTGGAATGCAGTGACCCTTACCAAACCAAATAAAGAGGAAAGTAGTGGTTACTGGGCGAAAGAAGAGCAGATAAAGCTACTATGTATTATGAACATCACAGCACTATGTAAATGTGAAACAATCCTTTAGGACAAAAGCACTAGTGATGTCCCTTCCAGAGCCAACAAGACGGCTGTTTCGCTGTGTTGTTTCTCATTTCTATTCACTTTCTTTTTCTCCACCTAATTCTGCATATAGTTTCCACCTAACTTTATAATGGTAGTGTTTCTCTCACACAGGCTGTGTAATGTCAATGAATTCCCGAGACAGCATGACAAAGTCATGTAAATAGACAGAAAAGGTGCATGTCTGTGTTCATAAACTCTGAAAAATGACCACTTCAAACTCAATGACCAGGCAGAGCAAAAGGCTGCTAAGCTTGAAAACAAAAAGCCTCCAAGCGTTTAAATGACGCCATTAAAAAGTTTTAAAATAAGGGCCTGGGGAGATGGCTCTGCAGTCAAGAGCATTGACTGCTCTTCCAGAGGACCATGGTTTGATTCTCAGTACCCACAGGGTGACTCACAGCTGGCTGTAATTTCAGTTCCAGGGATTCAGTTCCCACCTCTGGTGTGCACACCTCCCAGACACCCATGTGATCCACAGACATACATGTAGGCAAAACAGCAATACACATAAATTAAAAAGTGATATTCAGTCACGTATGTCTATAGTTCCAGCTATTCAGGAGGCTGAAGCAGGAGGATTGCTTCAGACCTTCAAGGAAGGCCTAGGTAACATGGGGGTTTGCTTACCTCTACCACCACTATAATTGAGTCTCATGTAATCCAGATTCTCAAACTCAGTGAATAGAAGATTACTTTGAACGCCTGATCTTCTTACTTCTACCTCTCTTGAGTGCTGGAATTATAAACAAGTACCAGAATATCCACCTTTCTAAGACCTCATCCCTTTAAAGAAAAAGTAGCAGGAATAGTTCAATCTGTAAAGCATTTGACTTGCAAGTATGAAGGTCTTGGTTTAATCCCCAGAACCCATGTAAAAGTGCCAGCTGAGCTTTGTGTTTATAATCCTAGTGTTGGGAAGCAGAGACAGGAAGACCCCTGGCAGATCTTGACCAGCTTATCTGGTCAATGGTGAACTCTGGGCCAATGAGATCCTGTCTCAAAGGAGGTATACATTGTTCGTGAAGATGATGCCTGAGATTGTCCTCTACCTTCTGTGCATACATGCACACAAGTCTAACAAGCAAGAGAAAGGTTTAAGTGAAAGATAATCAGACAGTGTTTTCAACATTAAGCCTAGCATCAATAGGTCGTCTAAATAGATACACTCTTGGCCTACCAGACTGAACATATAGTTCAAGGTTTTGATAGGATGCAGTGTTACCAAGGACATGGGGAAACACACTTGTGTAGGTCTACTGCTTGAACATATTCATCTATGTGTCTTTGACTTCAGCATCACAGTTCCAAGATGCACTTGTCCTTAGAAGTCAGAAATTCCTCTGCTAGCTCTACATCATAGAGAGGTTGTATGAACATAAAGAATAGTGTTGCAGCATTGCCTTTCACAGCAAAATAGTAAAAAATTTAAGTATTAACCAAAGGGGAGGTATGATGTATAAATCGTTGGCAGTGTGTAAACTATGTTGCCATTGAAGAGGAAAGTGTGGTCTCTGTGCCGAGAGGAAGTGGACTCGTGTTAGTGACAAGGACGAGCTGAGAAGTGCTCTTCACAGTGCCGCTTCACCGGCTTCAAGCCCAACCCTCTGACGTGTGTCAGCAGAGTGGGCTTCTAAGAGGTGAACTGAATGTAGGTTACCCACCTTCAGGTGTGAATTGGCTTCAGGGAGGAGGTGTGGCTTCCTAAACATAATGTGTTCAAATGCTGCAGTCACTTTAACAGTGAAGGACAGAGGAGCACGGGCTGCTCCTCCAGAGGACTGGCCTCCACTTCAGCACCCTCCTGGTAGCTCAGAAGCTGTAACTCCAGCCCTCCATGGGCGCTACCTGTCAGCAGGAAAAATGCCCATACACATTAAATAAATTTTATTTTATTTTTTGAGACAAGGTTTCTTTGTGTAACAGTCCTGGCTGTCCTGGAACTCTTTGTAGACCAGGCTGTAAACTCACAAAGATCCACCTGCCTCTGCCTCCCGAGTGCTGGCATCAAAGACCAGCACCAGCACCTCCCAGCAATAGAATTTTTAAAAAAGGAACCAAAGTTCTCACAGCAGAGTTTTTGCCGCAGGCCACTCTGTTAGCCTGTGTGTTCCTACCCCGCCTTGTCTTTGAAACATAGCACTGCCAGCCTTGGTCCAGAAGCACGCTTCTTAGGGATTCTCCTCATGATCAGTGCCAGGCAGAATGCGTGGCAGGAGAGTGTGCATATTTGCTCACTCTGTTTTTCCTACAAGGCTTCCTGGGAACGGGTAGGGGAGAAGGAATTCGAAGGGGAGCTGCTATCCCACACACTCCCCTCCTTCCAGGCTCCTGTAGTCAGATATTCCATTGTTTCTGTAAAGGGTTTATTTCTGTGAAGAGACACCTGTTGGTGATGGGAGAGGGCCACTTGTTTTTCCTGGCTACCCAGAACCAAAATAATCACACAGAAACCTTATTAGTTAAATTACTGCTTGTCCCACTAGTTCTAGCTTCTTCTTGGCTAACTCTCACATCTTGATTTAACCCATTTCTAGTAATCTGTGAATCACCATGAGTTTTTGGCCTACCAGGAAAGATTTGGCATGTCTGTCTCTGGCAGCTCTCTCTCACTCTGCTTTCTTCCTCCCAGAATTCAGTTCTGTCTTCTCTGCCTACCTAAGTTCTGCCCTATCAGGCTAAAGCAGTTTCTTTATTCATTAACCAATGCAAGCAACACATGAACAGAAGGACCTCCTACACCAGACACCAAGACCATAGTAACTCTTATAAAAGAAAACAATTAATTGGGACTGGCTTACAATTCAGAGGTTTAGTCCACTGTCATCATGGTGGGGAGCATTAGAGGCTTGCAGGCAGACATGGGGCTAGATAAGGAACTGAGAGTTCTAAATTCAGATTGACAGGCAGCAGGAAGTGAATGTCACACTAGATCTGTCTTGAGCATCTGAGACCTCAAAGCCCTCCCCCAGAGGTCACTTCCTCCAGCAAGGCTGCACCTACTTCAATAAGGCCACATCCCCTAATAGTAACACTCCCTGTAGCCCTGTGGGGACCCATTTTCATTCAAACCACCACATCCATCAAAACTCATTTTGTTTCCGTTGATTTCTTGATCACTGAAGAATTTCCCTTTGCATTCAGCTTTTTTCCCACTCTGCACATTCTTGTCTTATCATCTGCCTGTGTGCCTGGAGAGTGAAGGATTTTCTTCTCCACACGCATGCATTCTTGTTCCACACTAAAAGCCCAATGGTCACATTTTTTTTTACCATTTAGCTTTGCTGTCTGTCCTTAAAAGTTTTAATGGTTTGCCCACAGTCTTCAGGTTTTCCTACAGGCCTTCCTTTCCCTCCTTTGCTGATTTCTCTACAAATTATTACCATGATTCCCCTGGTGTTTGTACTACTGACTTGTACAGGTTGATCCTTTGTTCTTTTCTTGGAAGACCAAAATACATCATGCTTTAATGTTCTCTCTCTCTCTCTCTCTCTCTCTCTCTCTCTCTCTCTCTTTCAGTTTTTCAAGATAGGGTTTCTCTATGTAGCCCTAGCTATCCTAGAACTAGCTCTGTAGACCAGGCTGACCTCAAACTCACAGATATCCACCTGCCTCTGCCTCTCCCTCCCGAGTGCTGGGATTAAAGGTGTGTACCACCACCGCCAGGCTTAATTTCCTTTTTCTTGCAGTCAGTTTTGTGTTTCAATCATGCTGATCTAATTTAATCACCTTTTACAAGGATGTA